CCGCGCTAATTTTGTTTTCTTCCATACATCAACCGTATGATAAGGTGCAGGAGGGCACTGCTCTCATGTAAACTTACGTTTAAACTCCCGCACCGGCTTCATACTTGCCGGGACTTGTTCAGCGGTCAGGTATTTCCGTTTTAGTGGTGCATACCTGAAGCGCAATCCTTTTGCGCCTCATCCTAAACATCCCAGATTTTGTTTTTCTTTTGTTTTTATGGCGTCATTGTTATTTGTCGCTTTATTTGCTTCAGACCGGTTTCGGTAGACGGTAACTCCACCACGGTGACTCATTCTTGTCTTTTATTTTACCTATATATATATATATATATATATATATTTTACAGTTCAATACATTAGTATTTGGCACACGCTTGGATTACCAAAACTCTAGTCTTTAAGCACCCTTCCATTTTGAAGCTTTCGAGACATGTTACGCTACCTGCTTCCCTAACGCAGGTACTTCAGAACGCTATTAGCCTATCGCGCTTACCCTCTCTTGACCAAAAATGAAATAAAAAAAAAGACAAGCAAAAATATATAAAAACATCTATAAATTACTAAAAAGGTGGGCCTATCGCTGATCGCGCTTAAAATGTAACTAAGCTACTTTTTACAGAATTTAGAAGATAACACCTTAACCTACCTTAATCGTAACAAGCTTTTCTTTTTTTCTTTTTCTACGTTACATTTGAATTTTAAGCATTTAGTCGATGGCGTACTGCTTGCTTCCGTTCTCTGTCACAGTCTTATTCACTCCGAACTTCTGAATCGTGGCGTAAAACATCGGCGCAGAAACAATGTTTTTTTTTTTTTTTTTTTTTTGCAGGTGATCCTTACTGACTACTAAAGTCCGTTACTTGCCACGCGGTTCAAGAGTACGATACGTGGCTCGTCTTTATTTGCTAAAAAAACAGCATTGTTGTTACTTTGTTAAAGAAAAAAACTATCGAGTTATAAATAACGGCGTTAGGTACAACCCTATAGAATAAATATGCTCTGTTTTAGAATGCAACGTTACCACACGCGCCTTTTGAAGATTCGCACGGTTGCCGTGCGAATCTTCCGAGTTCCGAAGAATCGGTACCTCTGAAACTAAACATTTCGAAGACATTGTTCACGTTTTGTAAATGCTTTATGTAAAAAAACAACGACGAAAAACCGACCGCACGATATCGTGGTGAAGCGACTGAGCGGCACACTTCCAGTTAGGAAAAAGCGTGCATATTCCACAGCCGCGGTGGCGTAAGCCACCGAACGTCGGTTCGGGAAATACGCGACCATCCATCATGACCTGGGCCCTTCCTTCGGACAAGCGGCGAGTCAGAAGATCGCAAGCTTCGTTGTACGTGTATGCCTGACACGCGCGACATTTAACACGCGACACAAATAAAATACGCGAAAAGCGTCTATACAGCTATAAGGGTGCATGCGGAAACTTGCAATTCAAAGAGACGCGAAAATCCTAGACTATTCGTTTCTGAGATGCCACAGCGTATACGCACGCCGACTACGTACGTCATCATGAATAATGCGCAGCGAAAGCGGAAATCAGAGAGTTCCGGAAAAAAAAACAAAAAAAAAACGTGCACGCATTTTGGTTGTTTAATGGTGGGAATATTTGGGGTATTCGTCGTAGAAGAGAGTAATTCATTTATCGGCGTACGACACGACTCGTGACACGGTGCGCCGGGCGAAGATGCTCGATGCTTCTCGTGGTTAATTTGCGCTATCGTTCTTCGGTACGCAAGGATGATGCATATTTCTCCGGTTCATGACCTTTGGGCATCTAAAGTCGAACCACCGCATCGTTCGGAACACGTGCCAAGTTTGGAAATATGTTCGATCAAGTGTGACCGACGAGAGCGCAGTTGTCCTCTCACTTAATATGACGTACCTTTCATTGCGCTCGCGTGCACTTGCGCTGCATGTATTTTATACAAAATGTACTAAAACTAATGATCGGTGACAGGTTAAAAAACCCAGTGGATGCCTCCACAACTCCCTCTTTGTCTTCCGCCTGGTTTTGGCAGCGCGAGCGACGAACTGTTATGAAAGGCCGAAAGCAGGCTGTTGAGGCGAAACGTTTACTGGTTTCTTCACCTGTCACCGACTACAGTACAACCATAAATCTCGAAGGCGATAGGAAACTGTTACGTTCCTACACGCATAAAATTAAAGTTTTAGAACAAGGTACGGACAACTCGGACGGTGTACCTAAGAACCTTTCACGTAAAGCCTGGTTCTCACAGCTTCATTTTCTTACGTTACGTTACGTTACGTAACGTTACGGTACGTTATTAAAGCTTACGTACAAGACATCGGGACATCTGTGGTTCATATTAAGCGTGGCTATTAGTAAAAGGGAGATAGCCTGGCACGCGAAATTCGTGACACGAATGTTTCCTTGACTTAAACGTAACGTAAGAAAACGTAAGAAAGCGGTGTTGTGTGAACCATCCTTATTCTTAACGTAAGAAAACGAAGCTGTTCTATTCTAACATGCCAAGCATGCGTAATTTTTTCTGGGTGTGCGAATACTTATTTGAATCGAATAGAGCTGCATCGTTCCTACCCTCAACATTGCAAGAGGAGTCAATAATTTTTTTTTAGAATAGCGTAAAACAAAATTTGGTTACGCACAAAAAAAAAAAAAAAGAAGTAGCGTCCTCAACATGCACCAATCTAAAATGCGGTTTTTCTTGACGCAGACCCTGTGGTGACGACGCCATTTCTTTGCATCCTCAAAGCTTTTATCTACTATAACTCTATTCTAAAACTTGCTAATGTGTCGTGGCTTGTCCTTGAACTTTGAACGCGTTGAAAGACAATGCGCTATTCGATTTGAACCTCTGGTCGCACAGCCCTAGTTCAAATTCTCGGCGACGAGAATTCACAAAAACACGTGATCCTGTAATATCTCGCTTCAGATACCCTATCGCCCAAGCACGTATTTAGCGAAAAAAAAACTGTCGTTTCCATTCATATAGATAACACCCCTTTTGCTCTCATTATATAATCAGTGACTCAGAACTATACGAAGTATGCCCCAGTAAGATGACTATCAGCGTTGCACCGAATATAATGAACTCGTTGTCTCAGACAGTTCTATGTATATTCGGCCTTGATTGGAGTGGATACGTAAAAGTCTGTGCGTGATTATCGATGGGTCTTATAATCTGACTATGTCTTTGAATTGGGATAGTTTATCGTCAATTCTTATGACATCTTTTTTGTTATCATTTAATTGCGTTGGGCGATCAGAGGCTTTTGGATTGGAATGCTCAAGCACCATACTCAATCTTCACACGCATATATTGCGAGAACCTTAATGCAGGTTGTACAATGCCATGAATTTAGATCGGCCAAACTACTTTTTTTAATTGAAAAATTTATATTGAAGAATTAAGACTTCTTCAGCTGAAGGACATCAAAATACTTCTTGTGATTTTTATATTTAGCTTTGTCTTTTTCACGATACGTTTGGTTTGTTTATCACTTCCTTTTTTGTTATATAAACGAGCGCAGATTGTTGTTTCGTCGACCTATCTAACTTATTCCGGCAATGAGGATAGCCATATATGCCTCCAAAGACTGTCCTGAACGTGGCGACAAAATACAGATCGTAAAAACCCATGTGCATCCGTTATGAGGCTGCTCGCTTTTGAAAAATTTCAGGTATTCCCACATGTTGTTTCGCTGCCCAACATATTTGCTTTTTCCGTGCGTTCGGTCATCATTCATTTTAAATATCGGAAATGAGACGAGCACAACAGCTCAGGAACATATCTGTTCACAATTTTTCCTGCAGCTTAGACCCTTTTAGTGAACTCGAATGTTACTTGAACGTGAATGAGTTCTTGGCATCTTGAATTTGTATTTACCTTTCTTTAGTACTGTCATGCATAAGTTACATAGGTTGCAAAATCGAAGATCGTTTTTCGAACACCTGTGAACATGCCTTTTTTTTTTTTTTTTTACTAGACAAAAGAAAGATAATATATTAGAATCGTCATGTTGTTTAATACCTGAGATGTCTCAAACTCAACTCTGGGTTTGATACGTTGTTTGAGACGTCCCCTTCTGTGTCTGTTCCTTCGACTAAAAGCTTTTTTCTTTTCTTCTCCTGCACCACAGTCTTAGGCCTTAAACGGCATGATTAGCTACTACCAGCTTGCCTGCGCACTCAGCCTTTTTATTACAGGTGTGTATATCCTGTTCCTGAACTATTAACATGCTTTTTCGAGCAAAACCGGCAGGATTGCGTGAGCTTAGGAACCAAATCTCCCGCGCCAAGTACGCAGCGCCAATTTCAAACTGTAAGAGGTTCTCTTCTTGCGTCTTTAATCCTTCGTGCATTATGAAAGAAGGTGTAACTCCCAATACGGCAAGTTTTCTAAGTTATCTCAGAGAGATCTCACTATTAACAGTGGCTGACTGCTGATTCGTCTTAACCGTCAAGACATCTTACTGCCTGTTCTTTTTTTCCCCTTCTTTTTTTAATCGCTGGAACAATGTCAACTTTCGATTGCGTATATACTCGAAAGGCGCATAAGGATGAGTATGAGATTATATGCATTAAATTTGAGCTTAATTCAGAATTTATTCCATAACACGAGGTAGAGAGTAAAAAAGTTGTTAGGTTAATATGTTCTTTCATCTCTGCTATTTCAGAGAGTATCGAATGCAGGAAGTACGACGCAACAACCCAACCCGGGACGTCCCAGACACCTCGAAACGGAATTCGAGAGAGCGTCAGCGGACAGATTTAGAAACCCGTTTTGTGCGTCCGGGCCAGAAACCGAGTCGGCCACTCCACTGACTCACTGCCAACCACCTTTGACTCAAAAGGCGCAAACGAAAAGCTCAGCAACTCCCTAACAACACACGTACAGACACACGTATATACACACACACAAAACTGCAGTACTCTCATTTATAAAGATATCTTCTGAGCACTCCATTATGACAAAAAGACAAATTAAAAAAGAGAGACTCACCCGTTGGACGGAAAGTGGAAATCCGAAATCTTTGCCTCCGGAAAGCCGAAACCCCCAGGGCGTTCCTTCGCCGCGCTGTAGCTTCACAGTTATCACCGAGTCAACCATGGCTGAATCCTGTTCCCTACACTCCTCACTGAAAGTTTCCTTCGCTCAAAAAAAACAACCTCTAATGCAAAAAAAAAAAAAAAGTTTACAGAGCGTAGTTGTGAGTTCAAAAAGTCCCTCCGCTTCGGAGAAGATGAAAAAGAGGCGCCGGAGGAGCAGAAAAGGGCACCCTTGCACTCGAGGATCGGTCGTTCGTTCGTTTGATCAGAGGATCGTCGCGTGAGCCGCCTCGGTTCACAACGGGAAAGGAGACGGAGCGCGAGAAAGGGAAGCGCACAAAAAAGGGAAGGGGGAAAGTTACTGCGGCTAAACAAAAACAGCGCTAAGTACAAACAAGGAGGGAAGAAAAAAAAAATAAAGGCGGGGACGTTATAAAAAAAAAAAATACTTTTTTCGCGCACACACACTGTTGTGGAGGGGGTAGACGGAACCGCCGTACGTTGTCGTGCGGTGGACACAGCAGAGCAGACACGCAGGACGAACAACGACGGCGGCTACGCGATCCTTTGCGTCGCTCTCCGCAGTTGTGCCGCTGCCTCTTTTCGAATCGGCGATCTCGCGCTCGGCCGAGTGAGTGAGCAGCGCCTGCTTTCCGGCGTCGTCGGTTGAACGGGGAGGTTCGCTCTCGACCGCGCCGTGCCGAGGGAAAAAAAGCTCGCCGCGTTCCGTGCGCAAAGAGGCCTCCCTCGGTGACGTCAAGTTCTTTCCACTCCTCGAAGAGATTGGGCCTCGCTCTTATTAGCGCTAGCTCTTTTTGCCCGATAAGCCGTTGTTGCACCGTTCGGCTCTGTACCCGGTTCGTGCTTGTCCTGTTCCCCCGTGTCGTATCGGAAGGGAGCGACCGCTCGCTCTTCGAGTACGTATCGCTCGGTTATCATCGGGGAGGCAGACGCAGTGCACGGATTGGACACGAGTGCTGCGTCAGCCTTCGGCTCAGACTCGTGTCCAATCAGCGTGGAGACGAGTCGGAGCCGAACACTGACGCAGCACTGACGTCCAACCCCGTGCTCCGTGTTTGCCTCTTTAGGAAACGTCGAAAATGCAGCCGTACGTGGCCAATTGTTTTCTCGGAGCTGTTGGCAGGCAACAGCTCCGTTTTGGGCACGATTTTTTGGAACCACCCCGCTGGGAACAGACGTGGGTGCAGGTTTTGTTTCTCAGAAACTGGGGGACGATGGTCCTGGGAACTAGCTACTGCTCGTTGCGTTTTGTTTATCATAGATAAACAAAACGCAACGAGCAGTACCAAACAAGAGCCGCTAACCTCCCAAATATATAGTTTATTTGGGACGTTAGCGGCTCTTGTTTCACTGTTTTCCGACGTTGGACACCTTACTAGCGTTTATTAGCCAGGCAAGAGTTGCTGAATCACTGGGTTGCTGCTGCGCAAACTTTGTCAGCGTTCCACAAACCGGTCGTCGGCAGCCCACAGAAGGCGATTATTGGAATGTTCTATGCGGTCTGTGGAATTCGAGACTTTAAATGCTCCAGATTTGTGCCTGTCTCAAATACTCTACTCATAAATACTGCATATAAAACACATTCAGTAGCATGTTAATGTCTTGCAAGTACATCTGATCTTGTACTCATAATCTCAAATACATTTTTCTTTCAAAAAAATTTGAAGATCAACTGAACCGATTGCAAGTTTGGAGCGGAAACTGCCGAACCCAGAACAAAAAACAACCCACGGCTAAATAGGCAGGTGCAAAATAGGAACAAATAGAAGGAAATAAAAAGAAAGCAGCAAGAAAAGGCACAAGTTTTTTTTATCATTTTATTTTTGACCTTGCTTACGGAATTATGGAATGCGGAAGTATCTTAGAAAGTACTTGAATTACACTTCTAAGCATTTGTACTCTACTTAACGTATTTAGAGGTGAAAGTAACTTGAGTAGAATTCTAAATACTTTCTGAAGTAGGTATTTTATATCTTATCTTGACTATTTTTATGGAGTATCTTGTCCAACGCACTAATTCTACCGCTTTCGATTGCTTTTCTCGATTAGTCGACGTCTTCACGGGGAGCACATAAATGCGGCGCGGACGTTGTGGTTCTATGCGAGAAAAAAAATACGATTAACAATCGCCGGTTATCAAGAATAGCGAGCTTATGTTTACCTTTAAGCACCTATATTTTATATCTCCTACATATATATATTGGGGAAAACAGCTGTCCTTCCTAGCCTACACAAGGACTGTGCTACTGATACTTCATGATCTCTGTTCACAAAGAAAAAGAAAACAGTAATCATGCAACTGATGGATCCTGAGAAACGAATTATGGTGTAAATAATTATTAACTATACATTTTTTTTGTGTGTTTGGTTTTAAAACAAAGGCGTTAAAGGTTGCGAGAATTTTGAGTATTCTAAGATAATCGTTATGTTTCTACATTAAACAATTTTTATTGTCAGCTCTAAATTTCATAAAGGTAATAAAAACAAATTGCACAGTCACCTATAGGAAAGATTTATTCGTTCATTTGTTGTTGTTGTGGTTTGCTTGTTTATTCCTTTCTTTTTTTTTTCGTTTTGTTTTTTGGGTGGGGGCATATGAACAGCCTTTTACCGTTGTAATGACGCACAATATATATATAGCAAGAAGGGGAACACTAATTCTGGAAATTATTAAGGAAAAATTTGAACGCGATAAAATATGGGTTTATAACGTCAATGCTATTACTATACAAGTTACGAATCTGTGTCTTGGGGCAAGTTTGGAAGATTTGATTGACATAAAATGTAAGAGAAATTCCCATGAATCGTCTCGGAACATGAATATTAATCGCTGAAGTTAGATCATGCAATCAATTACTCCGTGAAGGCATTTGAACAGAAATATAAGACATCTGTCCCGTCGTCTAGCATTAAAGGTAGAACAACCAAGTTGTTCTAAGTATCGCCTATATTCAAAGTAAACTGTGCGACCGACATACTGATCATAAAAAATTCGAAAGAAACGCTTCTGGATATCATCAATCATCTCTTGGTGCGTGCGCCCAAGGCAGAGCGCAAGTTCGTCTGCTCCTTGCACAGAGGTTGCGATGACGTCAAAACCTTGAGCTCTTATTGGCTTATTGAAACAACATAGTGGGTAGACCTCGAGGTACCTAGCACTGAGGCCTACCCAAGCAGCACGGAGTTGGCCAGTCATCGGCCAATGGCTGGCAATGGTCCTTGGCCAAGTGGCCAGACAGTGGCCAGAGACTGGCCGGTGACTGGCCTTTATCTGGCCATTGGCTAATGGCCACTGACCATCAGCCATCGGCCAAGCACTGGCCAATGAATGGCCACTTTCTGGCCACTGGCCAAAAGACCATCGCCAGACATTGGCCATTGCTTGGCCAAAATCCGTGCTGCTTGGGTACCCACTATCCTTTCAATCGAACCCAATCAGAGCTCGGCGTCATTCTGACGTCACAGCAACTCCTGCGCAAGAAGCAGACGACTTGCTCTCCGCATAGAATTCCATACAACAGAAGCAAACTCCATCTTCGACCTAATAATGAAAAGTGTAACCGCATTATGCAGGCTGACATAAAAAGACTTACGCCCTCGACTAAGTAAGAACAGAACATGATTTTACCTGGCGCTCTGTAGATTTACCGTGTTTTAGTCCAAGTTCTGATGCAAAATGTAACATCCACGTTCCCTCTTCAACTAGAAAAATAGCGTATTTAAAATTCCTTCGAACATCTATTCTGAACAGGACTGTAAGATATTCGCCAAAAAAGAAAAAAAAAAGCGTTTCATTACTTGCCTGATCAGTGCAAGGATCAGTAAATTATGACGATGATCAAGAGGCTCGGCTCCGAATTCGCTGAGAGAAATGACGTCATTAAGAAACCGAATAAACTCGCAGCAATTTCCTTACTTTGCACAACTAAAAGAAAAAAAATATTCGTCTGCACGCTTCCGAAATTGCCACAAAAGAAAAACAAAACAAAACAAAAAAAAGTTCTAGCGGATGCTCAATGCGTCTTTCCACACTGGGCATGGAGCGGAACGTTGTTTTTTGTGGGCCCATACTCTCCCTCTCTTCTTATGTTACAAGACACTATATTATATAGTCAGGCTGTTTTTGGCAGTTCCACATGTTGCGCGTGCCTTTGTTTACACAGCTCGCGTACAGCGACAGGAAATCCGAACGCGCCCAATTAACATGGGCGATATCGGAAATCTGTAATGGAGCAACCCTCCAGCATAACTTCTTGTTTTGATCTTTTTTTGCGGCGCTGCGCACGGCATCTGGTTGCGACGTCCGGGAGTCGAATATTTCCTACCGCGTGAAGGTCGCGCGAATAAGGAGCTTGCAGTGTTGTTGACCTCTGCTACAATACTTCCGCGTTGTATCCGCAAAAGAAGGGGGCTCCCTTATCTTTCCATTCTTCCAATGCTCATTAAACTGCAACTGAAGTCGCGCTACATCTTCTACGGGTATAGTATTTCGTCCCGTCTGCTGTGGCCGATCATAGAACAGGCTGGTTTTCTGCTTCCTTCCACGTTCCCATCGACTGAACCAGTGAAGTCAACGCGGAACTTTTTCGGATAACCGATGACTTCTAAAGACTTCTAAGTGCCAGACGTGTAGATATGCTAACGTACTTTTAGCATGCCTAAAAAACAAGTACTCTCCAGCTCGACTAAGCGCATTCTTTGTCTTTCGCTGCTACGTACTAAATGTTTATAGTCTTCAATTTTCGAAGCATGAAAAGCTTTTCAATGGAATCCCCCAATCCCAAAAATGTAGACCGTTCGTCCGTCCGCCCGTTCGTGTATTTTCTTCTAAACTTAGCGAGCAATGTGACGTCACGTGGTTTCATGTGGCCTATACACCTTGGGGAATTGACGGCACGTGACCTATGGGTCAATTCAATTTTCCCGCTAAGATTAGCTAGAAAGTTTTGTCTCGTGACATAAACATACCTTCAGTTTGTCCGCTAAATTTAGAGGGAAAATTGACGTCATGTGACCTATACCGCAATTCAGTTTCCCCGCTAAATATAGCCGAGAAATTCGTTACTCTTTCCTCCCGTCCCTCTAGCCCTGTCCCATCTCTCTTCACCCTCTCACAGTGCACTCTCCCCATCTTCCTCCCCCGCCTCTTCCTCCTTCCTCTCTCCAAACCCCCTCTCTCTCCCTATTTTTTCCCTCCTCCTACAGTGCCCATCCTCATCCCTCCCTTCCCACTTGATGTTTTTCCCATTCTCCTCTTCTGGTCACGTGAAACACAGACTCAGTTTCCTCAAAATTTATACAAGTACAGGGTCTTCACTACCGTAAAGTTCGTTTAAAGCCTTTCAAACATTTAAAACAATCGCTCAAATCGCTCCTAAAAAGTACCTTTCGTGCATTGTGAGACTTTAAAAGTAAAGGTTGCTGCTATTTTTTTTTTTTTTTTAGTTTTCTTTCGACATATATTGAAGGTCGCATGATATAGGAGACAATAATTTTGCATGGCCTTCAACTATATGAACGATTAATTGCCTTCCCTCCGGATACAGTTTGTGTGGGTATTTAGCATTATTAGAGATTGTTCATCGCACACAGTCTATACACAAGTATAGACTGTGCGCACAAGTATAGACTGTGCGCACGAGTACACATAAGGCTGCTTACGTGCAGACCGCTAGGACGACCTTAAGGACGACGTCCAGAACGATGCCTAGAAGACGACGTCGAAAACGACGTCTAGAGGATGACACTTAAGCAGACTGTGGCATATTTGCGTGGGCGGCCACGTTTGCCTGCGGAAGCTGCCATAGATGTAGACGCTGCCGTCGATGTCGAGGC